TTTGGAGCAAAGAGGTAATTTGACGTTAAACATTCTAACACAACCATGTACCCCAAATATCGAAGAGTTTGCGATATCTGCAAAAGAGTTTGCCAACGAGATTAAAACCCAGTGTAATGATATAGAAAAATATGCTGAACGACTTAAAGTCAAAATTGACAGGCAAAAAGGATCTGTACAACCTGGAGAAGCAGCAGCACTAATAGAACACGACCCTGGAAAAAGAAAAAAAGATTTGTCGGATAGCCAACACCGTTTTGTGATAAACCTAGGTCCCTACCAGCCTCGCTTGACAGTTTATCCAAGTAATGCATTCATTGAATCTGGTAAACAAAATAAGTTTTCAAGCACCTGGTTCAAAGATTTTCCACATCTTGAATATAGCGTTCAAAATGACGCAGCATTTTGCTATGTTTGTTCCTTATTTCCAAACGGCGCTGGAAGACCCTCTTCAGATGCTTCATGGACTATTAATGGCGTTAGACAGTGGCACAAAATGAAGAGTGTTGGAAAAGGAAAGAAGGGCAAGCTGATACAGCATTTCACCAGCCAAAGTCACAGAGAAGCATTACGAGATTTTGCAAGATTCACTAACCCACATCAGAACGTTGATGCACTTTTGGATTTGTCTCGTCGTCATGAAATGATTAAAGAAACTGACGACGCAATGTTTAACACCAAAATTATGTTAATATTATGTGATGCTGCTCGCACCATGGCTATGCAGGACCTTGCATTTCGTGGAAATACTGATGAATCCAGCAACTTTCATGAGATTGTGAAGTTAATCAGTCGACATTGCGGCATTTTGAAATACTGGCAGAACCAAACAAGGATGCGACCATACCATGTTACCTATATGAGCAAAGACACCCAAAATGAGTTGATAAAGTTGCTAGGTGACGCAGTGAGGCATCGTATGGTGAAGGAGCTAGAGGAAGTCTCAGCGTTCTCAGTAATGGCTGATACTACCCCGGACACAAGCAATAAAGATCAGATGGCAATTGTTGTAAGATACGTCGTCAATGCCAAGCCGGTTGAGCGTTTACTGTGTCTGAGGATTCTCAAAGACAAGTCCGGAGAAGGCCATGCTGCAGAAATTTTTAAAGCTCTCAATGAGTGTAGTGTGGACCCACAAAAACTCGTCTTTCAATCGTACGATTTTGCGTCATGTATGTCTGGAAAGTATAAAGGATGCCAACGAGTGCTAAGTGATAAAATTCAAGAAGATTTTCCACACAAAAAGGAAATCCTTTACATCCCATGCCAGGCTCACAGGCTGAGTACATATGTAGAACGAAGCTCCAAAGCAAGCAGTCTTGTATCATCGATGTTTGACATATTACAGTCATTGTACACATTCTTTTCTAGTAGCACCAAGCGATCTGAAGCACTTGAAACAGCACAAGTTGAAATAGAAGGGGCCTTGAAGATGCGAAATCTTTCGCAAACTCGTTGGATTGCTAGATCTGAATCTATTGACAGTGTCTGGATCTCTTTGACAGTAATCGTCTCGCTGCTCGAGCAGATAATGGATAGACAACTTGACTGTGACAAAAACACACAGGATCAAGCCAAAGCAATTTTGAAGAAAATGAAAACATTTGATTTTGTTTTCAGCTTGGCTACTATGAGATTCATAATGCGGCACTGTAAGGTTCTGGTTGTGCAACTTCAGGAAGAGGGTTTGAATTTACTCGACGCACTTGAGCTAGTGTCATTGACAACTAGGGCGTTAGAAAAGATTTGAAATGAAGATGACGTGCAAAAGCAGATTGAAGCTGCCACACAAATTGCAATGCACATGGGAATAAATCCAGAAGAGGAGTTTCAGCACCGCCACAGAAGAAGATTGATTCCAAGAAGAATTGATGAAAACCGAGACAACGAGGAGGCATTCTCCTTCCAGACGTTTTATTCGAAAGAGATTTATTCTGTACTTGATCAGATAATTACAGATTGTAAAGAAAACTGGGGTAGCATTTTGAAGAAAATAAAGCCGTTCACTGTTTTGTTGCCTCCTTGGGATAACTTAAGGGAAGAACAAGCAGAGGATCTGGAGCATTTGTTGTCGGGGAAAGTTTCAAGTGGCAGTCTTATTGCAGAGCTTACTGTTTTGAGAGAGGACTTCCAAGAGAAAAAGTTGGTGAAGAGCATGACAGTCTGTGAAATTGCAAAGTTCGTATATAGTCGAAGGCACATTTATCCGGCAAGCAACACAGCATATACATTCCTTCAAACAGCACCAATTACTGTGGCTTCAAATGAAAGATCTTTTAGCAAACTAAAGTTGGTGAAGACTAAGCTGCGGAGCACAATGCTCCAGGACCGCCTGGAATCTCTGATGCTGATATCATGCGAGAAGGATTTCTCTGAAAATGTCAACTTGGAAGATGTTGTCAAGAACTGGATACACTTAAAAAACAGAAGAGTTTGATTTGACACTACTTAAAGTTAATTTATTCATATATTGCGCTATAAGAACTGAAAAAGAGGCTGGGTCAAAAGCTCCTAATTAAATGACTCGCAAAAATCTGAGGGTTATTTTTTGACCCACCATTGACTCTGTATTTTTATTAGAACGTGCTGTATTTGGTTGAAACGCTTTTTTCAGATTGAAGTTAAAATTAAAGTTCTTTCGTTAAAGTTAAATTTCTTAAATTAAAGTTAGTGTAAGTCATTTAGTTGTTAGTTCTGATCACGATTAGTTGAGCTCAAAATTTTTGGTATTGTTTTTTCTAAAATTACTCGGTACATAAGAGCTTACACCCCCCCAAGAAAATTTCCTGGAACCGGCCCTGGTGCCAATGATATATACGGTCCTGAATATACGTTTCTAAGTGTGTGTCTAAGTGCGTGATAGTTATCTGGATTGTAAACAAAATACGGTATCATGAATAAGTAGGGGAATACTTTATATACAGTAGATGCGTACTGATTCAAAAACTAAATTCAGAAACTAATTGGCTTCGGCTTTGTTACAACTGATTTACAAGGTGCGAGGGAAATAGGTGGTAACTGATGTTCGAAATCATAAAAAACAAGCAATTTAATCGTTTGGCCGCAAACTAAAAAAAATTCCTACAATTTCAAAAAAAACTACCTACTTTGATTGATCCTGTAAGTTTTCCCTACAACCTACAAACTAGGTCAAAATCCCTTAGTGTGGCAACACTGGTCGAGTTGGCGCGAATCCTCATTAGAATGCTGACATCAGCAGACATGGTTTCTGTTGCTGATTCGCAGACTCTACTGGGAAACAAATCCTAATACTTTCCATTCAACTAAACTTGGATTCATGTAACTAAACTCGTCAGTTGGAAAACCAGTTGAGTCTGTGTGCAGGCTAGGGCAGCAAAGTTCAACAAATAACTTGTTCAAACATTGCTTACTAACAATCAGAAAGCAATTGTCCTCTTGAACCTGACTCTCCAACCCAACTATTTCATCCTGCATACTTTAAAGTGTAGGGCCAAATGCTTCAAGTTTTTGTGCTCGTTGTTGCCATGGAAAATAAGTGTGTGATAGTCCTAAATTCGCTCGTTGAAGTTGCCTCTTTGATGGCCTCTCGAATAACGATCTTTTTTGTCTCTCTCCTCTTTTGAATACTTATGAAGCGCGGGAACTTTTTCTTGCCCATGACAAGGAATAAAAGGTATAATTTCGAAGAAATAGTTGAAACACACTTGTTTGAGAACACAGTTGAAATTAGCTGATCCAACGAACAAACAAAGACCACTATCTTTAGCCTTGGCCAACCAGATGCAATGCTCTCAGTCTCGTTTTGAAGTTGATTCTCTAAGTTGACTTTGACAAAGGCAAATTACAGTTTGATTGTTAGTTTGAATACTAATATAATGGGAAAATCAAACAAACCAAAAAATGAGCTTTCGAATGATTTCCAGGTATCAGGGAAAGTAGGCCCATAATTATGTCAGCAATCGATAAAAGGTTCGAAGGGTCTGAGCTGAGTGATGTTCTTGTTGCAGCTGGTTCTATCGCCTAGGGGTTCAGTGGACAGAGCACTTTGGGGAGGCATAACAAGAGAGGAATTAGATGTCTCCTTTTATTGTACGAGGCACTAATCTGCCAAATAATTCAAGAAAGCATCAGTAATGGTCAGCACCTATCATTGGAGACAAAAGAAATGTTGCCAATACTGCAAAATCCATCAAGTACCACCAGAGAAAATCTAAAGGCAATTAATGACATCTTAGAAGCAAGTCAAGACTTCTCGAACTTTGTTTCCGAAGCATTTGATGAACTAGAACACTCTGAAAGTCACATGGCCAAGTATTGGCTGAGTGTTCTGCAAATGGTTGAGATACTAATTCAAACATCCATGCTCCGAGGACTAAAAATTGGGAAGAATTTAAGACTTCTCTACGATTAATGTTGCCATGGATGCAAATTTATGACAACAATAAGTATGGAAGGTGGATTGTTGAATTCTGGCTTCAGATGAGTTGTTTACCTGAAGAAAAGGCACACAACCTACACCAGGGATTATTTGCACAGTCAATGACGGGAAAGTCCTACTCTTGCCTGCCAGTGGACCTTTAGATTGAAATGACGATGAACAAAGGTTCCAAAATGAAAGCTGGTTCGAAGAGAATTTTGAAAAATGAAAAGATGCTTTTGATACACGCATGCAATGCCAGTAGGGTTAGAGTTGCACTTCATGCCATGCCAAATGTAAGGAAGGCAACACAAGGTCACACCATGGAAGGCAACA